TTCGAATTACCATTTGTTTCGTTCCATGCAAAACTCTTTAAATGGTAAAATTTTTAACAACGCGGATGATGTCGGATCACACCTAATTCAGTTTTATAATAGCAAAGACCAGACATTTTACGAACGGAGAATTTTTACTCTGCCAGAACGATGGAAAAAGGTCATCGACAAGAACGGCCAATATCTAATTGAATAAAGTTATATTTTTAAACAAAAATTCCGAATTTCCCTTCTTATTTGAAATCGGCAATGACTTAGTTGCCAACCTAATATATTCTCAACATCTGTGCCAACCAATCGACAAAGCAGTAGTCCACCTCCTTCGTCTTCAATCAAGTCATTTTTGACCGAAACAACGATTATCCCTATCTTAAACATTTGCATCTCGTTCAGATTCACTGCTATATAAATTAATGGCGTCTTGGTACAATGCTAGGATATAAGTCTCGAATGTCCTGGTTTGAGGTTCAGAGACCTGAGTTGTGACATTAAGTTCAAGGATAACGGACATTCGTCAGCTCTTCTCCATGTTCACAAAATTCCTAATTGTCGTTACTATTTGTCTAATGGGGAGTCACTCGTCAATCAAAGAGTCTCATAATTCCACTTGTCCTCAACATAAGGGGACCAATTTAGCACATTGACTTATTTAGGTGGTTGGTTAGCATTATAAAAGTACATCACATGAGAATTTTAACGATTTCAGATCTGTCAATCACACAATTATTTCAGGGGTATGCCCATTTTTCCCATTTTTTGTCGTCATCGTTCACAAACCATAGTGACCACCATGTTTCAAATTCTATTTCCCTTCTCAATTTTAAGTAGGTAGAAAAGTAAATGTGGAGCTTCTCAAAATATTTCCAATTCATCTCCAATATCTCAAGCATCATGTTTTATATCAACTGTACATCACAAGATCTCTTGCCCAACTAATTTCAGAAAATTAACACCTGATCGGAGCAGAGGTTATGTTCTTAAATCCTTCATTGGAGAATAAAGTTGGGTAGACATTAGAGAACGTAAGGTTGCCGACTCAATATTGGAATCATAATAATAAGTTGAGACCACCAATTAAATTCTGTAATTTTAAAAAGGCTCCTCGTTCACGAACACAGGAATTAAATCAAATACTCAGAAATAACAATCACCAGTGAAATTGCTCTAGTGTTAATCAAGAACGCAATGTTGCAAGGAATCCCCCACTTTCAATGGACGAAAATGTAATACTTGGATGAAAGTGTACTATTTCAATAGTGTGCAACGTCGCCTTGGTTGACTAAAATGATTTTGTTCACACTAGGACATTCAAAGGAGTTTGGACGTGTTAGGGGTTGGGTATCGAATGGCACGGTCAAACGGGTAGGCCTTTATCAGACAATCAACAATTAATTTTGTTGAAGCAAAGAATAAAGTTTGCCCTATTACGGAGTAGTTTGGCACGATAACTCATCCCACACGGTATTTTCCTGTGTTCTCATTGGTTTGGGCGTAGCCAAGATTATTTTCCTGTTATATCTTAGAGGGGGGGGGGGGGGCTAGCCAAATTCAATAAGTTATTAACTCAGATTAAGTTGTGTTCATCCAATTTTTAATATTTTTTCGTATTCTGTCTCGACTTGAAGGAAGATAGGTTGACAAATTCTCTTACAGTAAGTACCAAAAGAGCTTACACTGTAGAGATGTTATGCGATGGAGCATATCAGAAGATTACATCGAATGCGTTTTACTCCTTTTTTTATGGAAAGAGTATGAAGGAAAGCAAATGAAAACCTCAATGTCAGACGTTGACTCAAGGGACGTAAAGAGCACGATTGATATCAGAGGCATGAGTTAGTGGAGTGAATTAAATGAGATTACAGGACACTATAGTAACAATGACAGAGCTTTAAATTAAGGTTTTCAGCGAATTAATGTAAAACGAAAGTAGGCGTTTTAATGGACTGATAAGTGATTTTCGAGTAAATCCTTTCTATTTAAATATTCAATTAAGAGGCAGCAAAAATACCCACTTAATTTGTTGAAGAAGTGGCTGAAAAAATGTGGCAAGAATCACTAATTGAATGGATTGCTCCATGCAACTTAGTTACCGAGAATACTTTAAATAGAGAAGTAATTAGGAAACGCTACATTCCCCCCAACATCTCAAACATGTTCCCAAGCATTGGGATATTTCTTGCCTTCATCGTTTTGACACCATCTTCGAATGCGAGGCCTTTTCTCAACATTTACTTCTTGACATCTGACAAGTCCTGTTACCCAGAGGCAAGTTTATTCAATTACACAAAAAGTGCCATCGCTGCTGTGAATCACGTTCTTCCCCACTCCTCGGAGAATAACTCAAATAGCATTTGGGTTCGAGTTATACCGAAAGCAGTGTCCGGTTGCACTTTGCAAGATTCCACCAGAGCAGCCAAAATTCTACAAGTTCTCAAAAACATCAAGGTTATTCTCATTTTCATATGTGTGATAGTAAAAAACTGGGAGATTTGGTTAACAATTACGTAGTTTTTTAAGGAAAATTGCAAATAATTTAGTGGACCCCAAAGCCTTAGGAGGGGAGGGGGGGGGGGGGGGGGGGGGGGACCAATGCAAACAGTAGTGGCGTTTGATATCGTCAGAGTTTGAGCTAACGTCTTGAACTCTAGCCAATATCAGAATCAAACTTCCCTTAAATTCATTAGTTCGATCTCACTCTTGCACATGATCATAAATTGCTACTTATTTATAAGGAACCAATAGAGTGCAAGGGTGGTAGCCTGAAAGGATTTCCTTTTTTGCAGATACAGTTGGGCATTTATTCCAAGAAGTTTCCGATTTCACCCCCTCTCCCCCCCCCCTTCCGACCATTATTTATCTCGAATTAACGATTCGCTATGGCTTTTTTTATATTTAATCATCTACCATATGAATTATCTCACATGGCTACCTACTGTCAATTTTGGAAGACGCTTTGATATATGTCACTTCAACCACCTCCTTGGCACCACTTATGAATTGAGATTCCTAGTTAAATTTTTACCCACAATTTCAGGGTAATTTCTTATTGGGAATTATAAATGTCAACATTTTCCTGAGCAATGTATGCAGTTAGAGAAATGTGAATGGACCTATTTGAGCATCGCATGTCAAGGCAATTGGAAGCACATTATTTACATATTTTTTGTAGGAAAATGCCACAAAATTCCCAGGGTACAGTGCGCTCCTCGGCCCTCCACTTCTGTGTGATTGCCATCTTGTGAATCAATGGATAACAGCAGGGTCTCTTAACGACACAGAGTCCCAACGGATCTACCAAATCAACTATTATTGTTATAACTATGGTGGCATTTCAGAACTTGTCAGTCATGTCAACGACGACATGGTCCTTCAAACCAACCCTACAATTGTTTCAGTATCAGTAGTCATTCCACGCATGACACACTACCGCGGACTCATATCCTATCTTCACCACGTAGGCTGGCAACGAGTTGCCCTCTTCTCTCAATTCGAATCTGCCGCTTTCAGTAATGCTGAACTGCTCAGAATGTCATCGCTTTCTGTGACTGTTATTCACGAATGCCTTGAACTTGAGTTCTTTAACCTACATCTGAATGCCGATGCTAACATCACCAAATCTTTATCTCTCATCCAGGATAATCTAGATGGTTTGTTTCCTTGATAGGCGGCATTTATATGCATTGTATCAGTCTCTTTCTAATGGATCACAATTGTTCACCTTTAGCCCTACTCATATTTGCGAAGCCTTCGTTCACCGTGAAGCTGCTCATTAATATTCAAAATCTCACACAAATCAAGGAGGGCAGAATCGCTATCATTCAGATAAACATGCTGGATATGCTCACTTACGATAGTCTAATCGCTTGGAAATCTGCTTTAACTGAATCTGGTCCAACATTTTCGGCAGGTCGTTCACTTATGATTTTTACAGCATTACCCACCGGAACAGATTATATAGAAAATGATCCACTTTATGATGAGGTAACTGATCTACACCATATTTGAATGAATTAACTCCATGAGGGTTTCCCCTGGCTGTACCACTAAACTCATAACCGAACCCCTTGATGCAACATATTCAAGTCAATCATCTTAGGAGAAAGGCCTTTGATGAATTTTATGCCACATGATTAGTTCATTATAGTACTAACCGAAATATATATGGCAATGATTTAATAGACACAACCAGTTCTCGTCACTCGCAAGGTCATCAGGAGATTTCATTCTCGTTATCTCAAATATCAAATGGGTTAACTGAAAATTTAAGTAACAGCTAAGAAGAATCAAAAAGTGTTCTTACAGTTCTATGCGCAGAATTCGTTTCAGGTGTATCGTCTAACTATATTCGCGCATTGTTGGCGAGGCTTTATTGACAAGAAATACACAATTTACGGAAGTTGCTAAAAGTAGAAACTGAAATTGAAACTTGCAAGCAAGGGGGTAGTCGTGATTAGCATTTGTGGACACTTTCAATCTAACATAATTTACTTCGCATTTTTAAAATATGAGTATTATTATTGTTTTTAACAGCTGTTTCTTTACTCTTCTCTTTATTTGGCTATTCGAAATGCCAATTTCACGAAAACAGGAAATAAATTTATCAGTTGCCCATGCTGCCGCTTTGGCCACTCGAATGGCTCAACTCAATGTGGCGAATGTTGGGGGCAATTTCAACTGCAAAAAAGGCCTCTTTTCACCCATTCGAACGAATGCTAGAATCATAGTTCCAACACTTCCGGGCATTGAGTTCACTTACACAACCAACAATGGAAGCGATATCAGGGCTCTTTTCGATATGTTCATTCTCACTCTCAAACCTTCAGTTACCGACAACAATGGTGACACCTTAAGGTCGGTTAGTTATACCGACGTATTCCAACTTGTTGCTGTCATCAGACATCCACTGATTTTGCCCCAGATGAGAAATTCCATGAATTGGCCAGGTGATGGAAAGGGTCCACTCAAAACTATCTGCTTGCGTTACACTTGTCCACATGGTACCACTTTAGATTACTAACTTTCCTTTTAGTTATGGAGACCTTGAATACTATATTTTTTATCAGTGCTTTCGGATTTGCCATCGCTATCCTTTTCTACTTAAGCACCACTTATGTGTATAAGTAAGTTGTTGCAAAGAACAATTTTACCAAAATAATCAAAAGCCGTTTTGAGTGTAGAGCAAGGTGTATCAACTCTCAAAAACTCATATTCCTGGAATCGGACTTTGTTTTCAAAGAGGAAGAAGTGAAATCATCAAAATCGCTTCACGATAAGGTGAGACGAATGCAACGGAAATTCACTAAAATAACGTTGTATTTCAGGAGTTGGGCTTTTCGGCAAAACAAACTGGAGCTACATTGAATTCCGGAATGAATACTTCTCTGCAAACTATTATGAGCAGCAATGCTGATGGATCGTCGGGATCAGGGAGATGTTGTGGTGATAGGATGATGGCCAATCGGCGTTTGAGATCCATTGCTTGGCTAAATGTACGTTTGTATTATGCACCTTCAAGATATTACTGAGATATCAATTTCTCAGTCCTCCTCACTATCCTCCTAACTTCACGATCAAAGTCCATTTATTGTGTCCATTAATTCACCTTGAACAAGGGAACGCTTCATTTTGCCAACAACGCTCAATGCAGTAGGTTGTTCGAATGAAACTCAGCTTGACAGTTGAATCAACAAGAATTTTGCGCCTTTCATCATGATGCCGAGAACTAGGAAGTCCCTAGCAAATATGTGCCAAAGCGTATTGCTAACAAGACTTGTTTTTTATCTGTTTTGCAGGGTGAACCGATGCGTATAAAGAAATTGGACTTGACTCATGTTTTACTGCGCTCAGCAGTTGTCAAGTATTTGGCGGGTCTACGAGGAATCAGGCATGAGAACATAAACACCTTCATGGGTTGCTACATGGCCCCTAATCAATTTGGTCTTGTCTACGATTATTGCCATCGTGGTTCTTTACAGGCAATCTAAATTCCTTCTCTTTGCTTATTTTACGACACCTCCCTTTTGGAATTCTGTTGCGCCCTTTTAGGACATAATTGCAAACAAGAGTATTAACTTTGATTGGCCAATTAAACTGTCCCTTCTAACGGACTTCGTTCATGTAAGCCACTTAAAAGATCTCCCCCCATCCTTAAATGGACTTCGACTACGCAGTGATCCCTTCTAAATACTAATTTCAGGGTATGGAGTTTCTGCACAAATCCAGCGTTAAGGTCCATGGGAGACTGAAGGCAACAAATTGTGTTGTCGGCAGCCGATGGGTCTTAAAAATTACCGACTTTGGAATTCCAAACATCCATGTCCTCACTGGCAGCTTGCCATCTCAAAAACCAGAAGGCATCAATGCTATAATTCTTTACATCCATTAACTGAAGATAATTAAAACTGATGTCTCGTTTAATTATTATTTTAGATGAAATATGGTTAGCGCCTGAGCTACTGCGAAATGGGGATAAGACTGGAAATTATTCAAGACCAGGTGACGTCTACGCCTTTGCAATTATCATTCACACTGTCTTCTATCAGTGCAAACCATTTGGAATTGAAGAACTCACACCTGATGTTATCATCTCCCGTGTTAAAGCTCGTGAAACGCCACCATTTCGTCCAAGAGTACGTTGTGTTGCCAGGAGATTTTTTTGCGGTCAATTTACTGGTAGAAGTCTAGCATCTCCGGCTTTTGCTAAGACTGGAAATGAATCAAGTGCGTGGGTGCCGAGGCAGAAACTCGTGATGGCTAGTTAAGAGATGGGTCTGTAGTATTTGAGTTGTGAACCAGAATTGGATTTTACGAGGGTTAAGGTATAAAAGCGAATAGTCATATGTTTATAAACACTAATTTCGCTCTTGTAATTAAAATGGCTGTAGAAAGTTCAATTTGGACACTGGGGTCAAGGTAATGGCGATTAGAATGTTAAAAAATGGAGATGGTTATGTTTTCATCCGAGTTTCATTTGTTAATAGGGGGTTGAGACAGTTTATCAAGCGAACAATAACTTGCGAATGTTTCCTGAATTACCATCAGTCTAACTCCATACAACCTACCGCACACATTGAGAAGGCAAACCATGATAGATTCGTGGGTGAATGTAGTCGAGGTCTAGGCCTACAACATTCATTCAGGAGGGGGGGGGGGGGGGAGGGTGGCGTGATATGAGTAGATTGATGAGTTTTGAACACGATGGTAGAGACAATGCGAACTCGCAATCGTTCGCTCAAGGAGTTCTCACCAGTTTCGATTGTTTGCAATGCAGATACCTTAGAAGTGTCGATCATGCTCAATCCCTGACATTTTAAGTAGCTCATTCATTTTAATTTGTTTGTCATATTCGATTACTCTAAAATCCTGTTTCAGTTTAACCATTTCTATGGTAAAGATGTCCCACCTGCATACAAAAATATCCTTGAACGCTCCTGGATGGAGAATCCTACACTTCGTCCAACATTTGGTGAACTAAGTGATCAAATAGAATATATGACAATGGGCAAGTAAGTTTAAGTACATTTTTTTCCAAACTTCTCATAGAAAAATCAGTATTATGGAACATATAACCAAGATGACTGAGAAGTACTCAACATGTCTGGAGGAGATCGTTCAACAGAGGATGAAAGAACTAGAAGAGGAGAGGAGAAAGAAAGAACTACTTATTCATGAATTGCTTCCTCCGTAGGTCTCACAAGTTATACTGACTTTTGGTTCCCTTTAAGAGTTGTTGCTGAGTCATTAAAAGCAGGAATTGCCGTCGCTCCTGAGATGTACGATGAGGTCTCAATTTACTTCAGTGACATTGTCGGTTTCACAACTATCTCGGCTATGTCAACACCTCTACAAGTTGTCGACTTCCTTAATGATCTCTACACGATTTTTGACAGAATTATTGCGAACTACGATGTGTATAAGGTGGAGACGATTGGCGACGCCTACATGGTTGTTTCAGGACTCCCCATTCGAAATAATCGACGACATGCTGGTGAAGTGGCTATGACAGCATTGGAATTGCTCTGTGCCTGTGCCAATTTCACTATCAAGCATTTGCCCCATGTTCCACTTCGACTGCGCATTGGTCTCCATACTGGTGGGTCCCAAGATTTCCATGCTATTCAAAAAGTATTCCTAAAGTTCATGTCTTAGGAGTGATAAGCTGGAAGACTAGGCGAGAAAGTTGATTGGCATTGTCATCAAAAGGAAGATTCCTGTCTTGTTAAATCATCAACTGTTGGCTTCGATAACTGCGCCATTGACTTACTAGTCGAAGCGGTAGCGAAAAGGTAAGGATGGAATTTTGCTCATGCCACTATTGGAGCAAGTGAATGTAAAGCTGAATTACCATTGTCCACTTAACTCATTTCATTTACAGTATCCTAAAATTCGTAATTTTAAGTATTTGGTATCATTCGAAAGCCATCATTTTAGACCATTTCTGCAAATATAAGCACAAAAGATACCGTTTTAAAAGCATATCTTCCTAATTCACACTAAGCATACGAGATATTATTTCCACTAAGTAATAAGAGAGATAGTTTAACGCCTAACTGAAGGTGGAATTTCTCATAGGACCCTGTGTAGCTGGTGTTGTTGGACTCACAATGCCTCGCTACTGTCTCTTTGGTGACACCGTTCAACAGGCTCTCAAGATGGAATCCTCTGGAAAGGGTGGGTTCTATTTTCATCTTGAACTTAAAGACCCTTGCAATTTGTATTCAGTTGTGCTGATGTTTTGTGCATCTGCTAGTGTATTCTACACAACCGGTTTGCTATTTTCATAATAACTCATTAATCAACCATGACAGCCGGCTTTTTTTCCTTACAGCATTTCGAATTCACATCAGTCTCCAAACGAAGCAAGTTTTGGACTTTCTTGGTGGTTATCATACTGAATATAGAGGACCCCTTGAGTTTGAGGGTGGCATAAAAACTACTACCTACTGGCTTACGAGTTACAAAGATTTCCGCAAGGCATTGCCTGAACCGCCATCACTGACGGAGTAAGAGACTTCTATTGTACCAGACATCTTCATATTGTCGTCAAAATGGGATCTTATATTTTGTTAAAATTATTACTTTCACATTTTCTTTCTAAATTTTGGCAATGAAAGCAAATAATTATTGCAAGACTAAATTTTTCAAACAGGATTAAGTTGATTCAAATCCGGAAATAAATAATTAATTGCCATTTAACGAGCCATTTGAATTTAAAAAAAAGAATGGAAAAATGGAAAAGAAATAACTCTTTCAAAATAGTTTCAGCTCTCGGCAATTTTCATCCATAAATTGTTCCAAAATTATCTAAGCTTTAACTTGCTTGGTAGTTAAGTACAGTTAACGCTGCTCTGAATTGATCTGTATGGTTACTGGTTGCTGATTGGCTGAGTGACACCTATGTGGGTGCCTAGCTTGCTCCATACTCGATCTTCGCATGCATACTCTCTTTTGAGCATAGACTATTATACTGGTTTTATTTTAACTCTTAAATTGACCAATATCAAGAGACCTATAATTTAGCGTATTTTAAAACCTTTCACTTTGTTACCTTGGTTAAAAGATGTTGTTAATGATAAATCTTTCAATTTTAGTGGAGAAGATCATGGGTATGTTCGCGTATTACGATACCGTAATCGCCTCTTTTCAATCTACGCTTCCTTGTTCCAATATGAGTCGAATAGATGCAGCTAAAGGAGTCATTGACCCTAAGTTACTTTTATAAATAACAATACCAAGGTGAGAGAGAAAATTTGCTTGGGAAGTATTTTCACTTTTTAGTTCGTGAAATTAAGGCATTGTCATATACATATACCTAGAGTCATGAACTTTAGCAAATATCCAAATATAGAGCAATGATCCCACTAACCTCCCATACTCCACCTCACCATCGGTCCGCATTCTGAGTCTATTTCACATGAATGTGACAATGCTGAACAAATGACACTTCGAGCAAATTCATTTCGATTTCTTGCCTCTCAATAAAACTTTGGATAATATTATGACTGCCTGGAGAGAACTGAACCCAAAATCGTTATTTGCTCATTTGAATTTCTCGATTAGATTACACACACATGGCAGATCATAGCAGGTACAGTTTCATTGATTAACACTTTCTATGAAAGACAAGGCATTCCATTTTTCGTACAAGGTTAATCCAAGGTTTGAGAAAGAAATTTCATTTTAATGTGGTAAAGTGAATTGTGTTTTGGATCTCTCGTTAAGCCTTCCAATTCCATTTTGATCATTATATTTGGTTACCAAGTGGTAAACATTAATCTTATTGCAAATGAGGCTTTCAGTTCCTCTCAACTATAATGCGATATAGCTCCCACTCCATTGATTCCAAAATTAGCTAAGCTACAGCAGCTGCAACAAGGAAACCGAAAGTATCCCTCTGTTTGTTTTTTTATTTGATTCCAAAATTATCCCCAATTTTTTTTGTAAAAGTTGCTTGCGTCCTACTACCTCCGTGTGAAATTTCGAGTAATTTTCTTTAAACCCTTTCTTTGTATTTTAGATTGGCGAGTGTCTATACAACATGAAGTCATCTTCATAGGTGCGGAACGCTATTGCTTTCTCTTTCTACTTTTCTCTTCATTAATTCACCACCATCATTTTCCGATTTCAAATGTATCACAATAAATGAGGACATTTGCTACATTAACGCATTTAGTCATTTTAGGAAAATAAATGAAATTTGATTCATCTGCAATCACTCTTCCGTCTTTCCACTTGCGTTGTGATCTAATTAATTTCACATTGAATTAGTTCAGCTTAGTAAAATGTGTATCATTCATCTTACATAAGTTTTACATTTATGAATGTAATTTTCTCTACTGCATTTGAAGTTCATTGATTGTACCAAGAATCTTTCCAGCTTAGAAAAAAAATTTGGCCAAACAGATTGAATAGGCGTGGTGGTTTGAGTTGACTAATAATTGATTATAACACTATTACCCAAGGTATATGCATATTTGAAATATGAATAACTCTTCAAAAAGTTATGCAAACCCAGTGCGCATAAATGGTATAAATAAATATTTTATATCTAAAAATGATTATGCTAATCTGTTCAGAAAAAATCTTTTCGACACAAAATGTTTCGTAATATAGAATATGAGATGACATTAAACGGTTAACGATAAATAAAAGCATAGACTTGATAAAGGCAGGGAACAAAAAATGATGTAAACAGAGCCACGATTGTATTCTAGTTCCATGGTGTTTTAGAGTTGACATGGTACTTCGGGAACTGAAGTGATACTTTACTCGTATTTTAATCACCTGTTCGTTCTGAGTTATGTGGAGGAAGCTCGCGTAGAAATTGACTATTGGAAATCATTTTGATTAAAGTATCATCGATTTGCTTTCTAATTGGTGAGGAATGCGATTCCGCAATTACCTCATGTTCACTAATATCTGCCACCAACTGTTTTTCAGAATTAAATGTTAAAATTATCCCTTCTTTTCTTGTAAAGCATAAAAAAATTAATTTAGCGATAAAGTGGTGGATATGATTTTAATTGAATATGAATTCATTGTTGAAAAAAATAAACTAGTATCAGTAAAAGAATGTCAGTTATAGGTTTATGCTTAATTATCCCAAATAAAATGTCACAGAGATAAAAAAATAGTAACTTGAAGTGTAATACAATTGCATCTGGTATTATAAAGCCTACTTAGAAACCATTAGTTATAATTCTTTTCATAAAATCAAACAATGCCTTATAGTAACAATAACCGATTATTAATAATAAACGGATATGGTAGAAGAATACAATATGGAGTAAATAAAAAGTAAAAAATCTCCATAAAAATATCAAAAATGTAAAATAGACTATTGCAAATCCTTTAAACAAATTTATTTAAATTTTACAAGCCCATTGGTGCATATTATTTTAATGCATCGACAATGCGTATTCTAAGTCACAAATTTTAAAATTGATTTTAAGATGAATGAGGATGAAAGCTGCAAGCAGCTCATGCGAAAATTGGAGACACTCTCCTCGGATTCAGATTCCCAAGCTTCTAAATCATTTTCGAGGTTAATCCAGAAGCTTCAGAGTCTTATTCCCGATTTTGTCATTCCTTGTAATTTGGAGTTAATAAAACAAGATGCATGCTTGCCAAAGGGTACAAAGAGAAAAACCAGACCTTCTAGACAGTCAAATCGATCTAGTGCCCTTTCGAAAAAGTCAAAGAGACCAAAGCTCTCAAATTCAAGGGTTTTTTCGGTTAGTTATGGCTCGCAATTAAGATTTTGTATGATTAGAAAACATTACCTTTTTGTTAACCTCCTATGATTCCCTTTTCTGTTTTAAGTCTATAGGGACGACAGTTTCTGAGATCTATTCAATTCCAGAGGAAGTGTCTAGTCCTGCAGCTCATAAGGAGCTAAATGCGACGTATGTCAGACCTACTTCAAATAACTCCAGGTCCTCTTCAAAACCTGTTGATTTAGATCAAAGCACCTTGTTGGTAAATACAACGAAATCAATAAATTTAACTCCGCAACCAGTAAAGGAAAAGGTAGGTTCCTATGTTTAAAGTTAAATTCTAGGGCAGTCTTTCTAATAATGGTTGAGTAGCTTGTAGTCTTTGTCCTGGAAGTTCGTTATTTGCCTATGTTTAGGTCTTGTTAGCTTTTATTTTCAAGCCTTTTTTATGATTATCCTTTTGTCGGCTAAGGTATCATTCTTTAAGATTCACGAAATTAAAATATATTGAATTCTTTTTGATCCGCTCGAGCCTTTCGAATTATTCTTGTCTCCATCATGTTTCTCTTGCTCTTTATTGGATTGAAATTTGCTATAGTTTCTTAAAGGTGTCTAAGGATTAGTTTCTCTTCCTATTTGGTTATATTACTTCGTTTTTTATATTTTAGACGTTTTCCGTAACATCCGATGATATTCAATCGCCACCGCCTGTTAAGAAGGGACGCTTCCAGCCTTCCCGATCTCAAAATAGTAGAACGGAGTCTTTGAATAAATTATCATTGAAGGTGAAAACATTTTGAGTTAGCTATGTCATTGTCCTCAATAATCGTCTTAATTCCATTTCTGTTTTAAGGATCCTCCAGTTGTATCTGTGTCTCAACGTAAAAGTGGGGATTCGGAAATGTCTTTTAAAGTAAGAACTTGTGTGGATTGAGTTTTGTTTGCCCATTTTATTTTCAAAGTAAACATGCTGAAACTTTGCAGAGAGAAAGCAGTCATGTCCGGTCTGTATCAAATTCTAAAGATAAATCCTTGCCGAAGGCTTCTAACACGGTATGACCATCCCTTTTCTTTTCCTATAGCAGGCATTTCATTCTTTTTTCATCCTTTTTCTCCTTTTAATTGTTGCTATAGTGTGCTGTCCAATCCTCTTCACTCCAAGAAAACTGTTCCTTACGAAAATCAGTTAAAACGGTATGTTTCTTATACATATTTGTCTCCATTTCATCCCTAATTATAAAATGGGTAAGCTCTCCAATATGTATATCCTGAAAGTAGGTCTTTACGAAAGTTGTTCAAAATAGTCTATTCTTATTTTTATCGGTATTCGTAATATCCTCTTATCCACAACAAATCATTTTGAATTATTTCCTGCAAAAGCATCTAAACATGGCAACCAAGGGTTGAATCTTCCTGCAAGCTCTAGAAATTAGGGGAAATTTTCATCCCATGCGTTTTCGTTTGCTTTTTTCTTCAGCGTTTGGTATGTTAAGGTTCCAAAGAGTATTCATTTCCACTTTCCAGAACCTTTAGTTGAATTAATCAATCTAGTAGGTTGATAACATCCACGAAAGCATGAAGCTATTAGTTACCATTATTTTAACAGCTTAGCTCTCTTGAGTACGTTATTTTAAGATTCTTGTACCGTTTGTAGGATAATCAGATCGTTGCTGAATCCTTACACCAATCGCAAAATGGCTCCCTGGGCCGTTCATCCAAAATGGTATATCGCGTTCTTTTTACTGAATAAACATCCCCAGCCCCTTCCACTTGTTCATTAATTTTCGTATTTATAGGATAATCGAAGCGTTGCGGATTCTGTGTTCCAAAAATCAAGTGGTTCCCTAAGAAGGGTGTCCAAAGATGTTAGTATTTTTTCTCTTTTGCTAATCTTGACAATAATTCAAATTTTACCTTTAGAGTAAGTCTGGCCGTGTTGAGACGTCTTTCCAACGAGAAAGAGGATTCACGGGTGATCCGTCCAAAACGGTTAGATTATTTGGTTTTATTTCCGTTATCCTCTGTTGATATTTTATAATCGTGCTTTGATTTTTCTTTTTACAGAGCAAGAGTCTCAAATCTCCCGATGCAAATGCAGAAATTCAGATTTCGGTTACTAATGAGATCCCCCATACCGTAGAGGATAATACTGAAGTATTAAAAGGGGCTATTAATCAGGAGGCTGCCATTTCAGAAATTATGACTGAGGATGAGGAAGAGGATCGGGTGGTTCAAAGGTTAGAAACTCCAGCTGAAACCCCCATTGAAGTTCCTTCAATTTCTCCGGTGGATGTACCTTCTCATGGTGATGCAGTTGCTACTAGTAGCATTGTAAGCAGTAACAAGCCACCTTTAGTGAAATCCATCTTCCCTTTCGTTGCGTCGACTCCCAGTGTACCGCAGCAACACAGTACACCTTGGTCAACATCTAAGTCGAATTGGCTCTCAAGGCTTGGTTGGATGACAGCATCCAAAGTGACTGCTCCGACTCCTGTAACGACACAGACCAATGCTCCAAAGACGTCATTTCAATCTCAACCTGTGAAAGTTGGGAAGATCAAGAATGTTCTTGCTGCAAATAATACAAGTGCAAACTTGACAGCTGCAAAAATGAGTAATAATTTTGTCAGTGGAATGAAATCCTCTAAACCCATGTCGAGCTCCAACTTTAGTCTTGGATCTATCCAGCGACCGCCAACTATGTCAAGGTTTAATAATAATCTTCAAGGAATCAGCAAAACTAACTGTCCTAGTAAGTTAGATCACTTGTACTTTTGGAAAGTTAATGTATTTTATGGCTATACCGTAAAAACCACTTTAATATGTTATTTGTAGCAATTTTTTTACGATCTAAATTACCTGGCATGACAATGTTGAAAATTTTGTTAAATAAACGTGATAATATTGATCTGTATTATGTTTATGCTGTGTTACTGGACTCGGGTTTAAATTTCTAGAATTACCTTCACGTGGTGCACTCTGGGCAACGTATACTCATACGACAAAAAAGTCTAATAATCGGCAGTTGACTTCTGACTTCAAACCACCAAGACCCCACCGCATTTCATAGTCTACTAATAAACCGGCAGTCGACTTCTGACTTCAAACAACCATGATCACCATTGTATGTCATATTCGATCACTTTCACCCCACTGTATGTCTTATTCGATCACTTCCTCCATACTTAAAAAAGTCTTTTACCGGCAGTTGACTTCTCACTTCAAACTACAAAAGTCTTTTACCGGCAGTTGACTTCTCACTTCAAACTACCAAGACCCCACCGCATTTCAAATTCGAATAATTCCACAGTAGACTGTATGTCATATTCGACCCCTTCCACAGTACTCATCACCTTTTTTCTACCTTTGTGTCTGTCTGTCTCTTTTACGCCTGTGAATCATTATTCTGTTCCCCCTCTCGACTTTTTGCCACTTTGGTGTTCCTTTTCCTCTCTGTGAAGCGCGAAGTCAACTAAAGGGCTAATGATACCTCTCATAACGCCTGCCATTTGAAATAAATAAATAAATCTCTAATTCACTAAACACTCAAAATCGTATGGTCTATGGCAATAGGTCAATAAGCTGAGTTTAACTTTTTTATAATTATTTGCACGGATCTAGCTGTTTGATGTTATTGGCCACTAACCCCTCGTTATTGCCTAAGAAACCAACTCTACGTTTACTCTGACAGTTTCATTTTCGCTTTATTTAGGCCAATTTTCCTTATTGTTTGTTCAAGCTCAGGAGTTCTGTTTTGCCAAGGGCTAAACTTCAAACGCCGTTGTTCGTTGATTTGGTCTGTTTTCTTTGATAATACCCTAAGTATTCTGTGAATTTAATTAATGATTTTAGCGGAATTTTCCGATTTTGACATATGTATCGCACGTTTGGCGAGGCTTGAGGGGGTTTCAATTTTTCCCAAATTCCGTTTGAGAATTTACAGGATGCGTTTGATTTCTTTCATCCTTGTTGTAATATCTTAGTTCCTTTAATCCTTCCTGATTTGAAGACAAGGGAAAGAACTTGGTTTTTTACGTTTACCCATGGTTGTGCAAATGTATCAGTTGTTTAGCCAGTCGATATTGGAAAAATCTACACTTATCACGCTTTCACCTATGTAGGTGTACACTGCATATTAAGAGAACAATGGACAAATACAGCTCGTTTGTGTAAGTTGATTTTATTAAATCAACAGACATGCATTGCCTCATTAAAAGCTACACACTTGTGCTGTTCTCTCGTTTCAACAAACTTGCTTCTCTTCATCAACTCTGATTTTGCTCGTGCATTTCAAGTTAGTCTTGGTCTAATTTTACCTTAATTCATCTTTAGCTATAGCTGAGAAATCTTTTGGTGGAGGGTCAGTAGTTCATGGAGCAAGCACTGCAATTCATGGCAGTACAACTATGACCACTGGTGGACGTTTGCCTAGAACTGGGCATTCAATATTCTCTTCTAAAGGAAATGCGGAAAAGGAGAGACGAGAGCGTCTATTGGCGGAGATGGCTGAGAAGCAGGAGAGACAGCGGGAGGCTCAAGAGCGCAAAGCTCTCGAACACAAGGCTAAAGTGAAGGCTGCTAATGAGAGACGTGCTGCCGTGCGTGCCAATGCCGAGGCTCTTGCAAAGAAGCAGGAGGCGGAGAAGTTGAAGAAAGTGAGTTTTTCAGTTTAAATATCATTCTACAAGGCAGTGACGAAAAAACCTACAAGTTTTAATAATTGAAAAAGTTAGAATAGTAAACGAGTCCTATAAAGCTTGAAACGAGAAGTCAAGTTATCGAAAGTTGTGTATCTTACCATAAAGGGTGTTCTTGTTTGTAATGTTTTGATGCCATTGGAGTGAGATGAGTTCCTATATATTTAGATATACTTTTAATAATTGTTTTAATCCCTTAATATGTCATCCCATCTCAACTCATTTTGTTAGTAGTCTACTACCAACACTTAGGAAATGTTGTATTTTTTACTAATTTAGGTTCTGTCTCGTTGCCAAAAATTTGAACGCTTTCTGGCTATTCATCTATGGTGTAACTTACTAATTAGGAGATCTATAATTTTGTTTATCTTTTCATAAAGATTCAATTCTACTGTCTAGCCGATCCTACACTTAGTCGTTCCTTGTGTGTATTATTTGATCATTTATGCTATGGTGTGTTCTTAAAGCTCTTGGTTCGAAGAGTAACTATTTAGCTTGAGGTAATTGTTTTTTTCTCAACTTTGGCTTGTACGCTTCCTGGTAAGGAGATATTTTCGAATCAGTTTCTGGTGCTTTGTATCTGCTGAACAAATGTTCATCCTGTAATGTGGCACAAGACTAAATCGTCGCACTTTTTCTTTTTTACTTAATTGGCCTTTGTTAAAATATGAACAAGCCGGTTCGTATTCCTTTTAAGTTGCTCGCAGCCAAAGACAAGCCACTTTTCAATCCGTTGAAACCTACTATTCACAGCACTGCCGCTCCATCTACAAGTCATTTGGTGAAGCAGCCTTTCGGAAATAACTCTTCGAATTTACCTGTTTCTACCTCGTCTTCTCACACTAATGCTCTTAATCCTACCACTTCGACTAATTACATGAAAAACTTTGATTTTGTCAAAACTCAAACTCTTCCTCCCCTTCCACACGCAACACAAGTCAATCAGCTGAAAACTCAACCTCCGGTCATTTCTGAGTAAGTTAATTCTATCTGGAAATGTTCGTCTGTTAATACTAGAGGGGGGGGGGTCTTTCTTTTGCTTATATCCGGTCAGTTTAGTTTTGATTTTGCCATAAATTAGCCCTTCAAAGGTTGATTTTGTTGTGGGCTCCATCATTTTTTCGTAATTTTTGAAGCAATCGATAATTTGAAAGGGAATTCATTGTATATGTGTAGTTGATTATACCGAAGTATTTTGATGTTTTCAAACTCTTCGGTCGACTTATAATCTACTGCCAAGCCACTACACAAACCATCTTGCTAGACACTCATCGGGGTGTATTCTGTTCACAGTAGTTTATATATATATATATATATATATATATATATATTACTGATCGCGGTTCTGAAACAAGCGACTTCTTTATAGGAAAGTTAGGATTTACTCTGCTTTGTCATAAGGACTCCGCGACTTGGACATTTGTGTTTCGTTTATTTGAAGTTCATCACTAAGCACACGTGTGTAGAAGTTGCATTTTGCATTTTGGCACTCACGGTTCACATTAATGCCTTAGTAAAATAGGCTGTATATATATATATATATATATATAAATTCTGTCATTTTTAAAAGATTGGGTGCTAATACCACTTCCATCTGGTGACATTTTTCCGCATTTTGTCTTTGTTAGCGAGGAAACTTTGTGAATGTCACAAGCTTACACTATTAGAAATATTGGGAAAAATTTGAAAATTACCTAAACACAATTAAGGGCTCAAACGTAGGTGAGTTCGAATAGTACAATAGAGATAATCATTCTGCAAATCAATGAGTCTCATTTTATGTAACTTTGACTACTTTTTGATGCTTGAAATTTCAAGCTTCTATACTTAGTGCCTAGGTTTTTGCCTTATTTCAGAGCTTATTGGTTAGTTAATTAACCTGGATGGTCATAGAAGTTAAAAGCTACAAATAAGCTAAACTGTCAATTATTGAACTTATTTCTACTAACCATTTCAGGTCTCCTATTTCCTACGATTTAACTGGCATCTTGGACGAATATAACTCCGATTCTGAAGACGAAACTCGGGCTAAACGGAGGCCTATTCCCTCTTGGGCACGTTCTGGTAAGTTTGTAAAATGGCAGTGTTAATTCGCTAAGATGATGTAAGTCGTGCCTTAAAAATTCTACTTGTGGATTTTAGATAGTCCATTCTTGATTGAAATGATCTCTAAGGCGTATCGAGGGGAGCTGCGATGGCAGAACATTTTCCGACCGGCAGAACAGGTGCACTTTGATGATGCAGATCTATTCAGCGGTTACAATTTCCGTACACGTCAACGTGGAAGCAGTGTAGTGTGGATCTCTCCATCCAAACAGCCTCACGAACAGTCCTCAGGCATAAGCAAATCCTCTTTCAAATCACCTACGGCGACCTAGTCACTTTTGACCCGACACTCTATTAATATATAAATATATCACCAACATTCTCCATTCTCTGTCTTATCGCAACATGACGTTGCCGTCAATTTGCCTCTATTGTCTATCTCTATTTCTCTCATTCAGTCTTATGCTTTATTTAGTTTGTGTGTTAATAATAAATCTGCTTGTTTAATTGGAAGGTTTTGCGTTTTGTTGGGTTATCTGTTGTCTGTGGAGGAGGGGGAGGGGAGTAGATTTAATAGGATTAGTTGAGTTCAACAGAAATAAGTAGATTTGTACTGACCGTAAATCAGCATCGATCACATTACCAGCTGCAAGGTACTGGAGAGGTTGGTGACCTATTCAGTCAGCACTGAAGATTAAAATTTATTTATCTCAAATGACAGACGTTTTGGCCGTTATGATTAGCCTTTAGCTGACTTCGGTCTTCCCAGAGAGGAGGAGGAGCATAGAAGTGAGAAAAAGTGGAGAGAGGGAAGAGAAGAGTGATTCACAGATGTGAAAGGGTCAGACAGACACAAAGGCAGAGAAAAGGTAAGATGAGTACTGTGAGTCATGGTAGTTTGAAGTCAGAAGTCAACTGCCGGCTAATGGACTTTTTTGTCGTATGAGTATACGTTGCCCAGAGTGCACCACGTGGAGGCAAGTCTACCGCACACTCCTTGAAGACTAACATGGAAGAAACTATAGAGTGGTAGGCGTTCCGTTGGGACAATTTGGGTGCTCACTCTTGTATGCTCCTTTTTGATACCTACAATTTTGTTAAGGGGTGCATATATTTGTTAAATATTTTCCTCCAATCAATTTCACATATTTTCCCTTTCCATTGCTATTGAAAATAGCTCCTTTGTTCAAGCTATGTTCAGCATGGCTCGAATTCAGCCTCGCTAGGTTTACTTTAAAATATGATGAAGTCATACATTCTTTATTCAGAGTAAGATATCGATTTGCCGGTAAAGTATTCAATGATAAATACCTATTTTCAACCATGTTTCCTGCATAACTAGGTCCAATGTAATTCTAAAGATGGCATGGGCGTTTACGAACCTATGTCAACTGGATAGTATAAGGTGACGCCAACAAATTGCTAATCTTACTTGAAAATGGTGCGTAATTTTCAGCCAATCGCCTTCCAATCTCAACCCTAGCCAATGGCATTAACTTTTAAATTACTCGGCTAAACTAGCAGCTGATTTGGGGGTGGAATTCAATTAAGTTTCCTTGGCAATATCAATACGTTTTCTTCGCTTTTATATCGAAGCTATCCTTTTAATTTTAAGATTTTTCCGAACTAACAATTAACCTTTTTTGGGCTAACTGAACATTGTTCCGCAAAGTTCTCGAACCCATCTCCCCACCAGCGGGGACACAAATGACTCATTCATTGAAAACTCATCTGCGTTGTGTCCTCTAGCATTCTACTGATTCGTTATTATTAAAATTCACCTCAAGAGGAAGTCATTGTCGAGTTGGCAATTGAGCCTGGTGTACACTGGTAAATTTTATAAAAGTAGGCCACAAATTCTAACATCGAACAATGTGAGCGGTTCTTTTGTGCCAGTTGTGGTGGAAATGAGAAGGAAACAAACGTGTGTTTGAAGAAAATAATACGCACCCTGATCAACTTATACCCATACGTCAAAAGAGGCTAGAAAAAGGCAGTTGACATTTGACTTTAAACAACCATGATCCGACTATCAGTCAAATTTCACCACTTCACGGTACTCATTTTGCCTTTTCTCTACCTTTGCACCTGTCCCTTACATCTGTGAAACGTTCTTTTGTTCCCCATCTCAATTTTTTTGTGGCTTTGGTGTTCCTCCCTCTGTAAAGCCCGAAGTCAACCAAATGACTAATGATAACTAACGTAAAGTCTGCCAGTTGATACAAATATTCATTGATATTTACCCTTTCAAAGTAACAGCGTTATTTAAATAAAGGCTGATATTTGACTAGTCAGAGGCCAGTGCAAAATCACACTGATTAATTTCGATATTCTCGTAAGAGAAGTTTCAAGTTATCTTCTGTAAGGGTTAAGGTTGATTCCAATGTTCCAAAGCAGAAGGCCAGGAGTAGACTGACCAGAATATACTATACAACGACTATGGAAGCTCAAGAGAGAACGTGAGACAGTTCGAGAATAATAGCGTCTGCAAATCCAGCCCTGTTAACGCCCTTTTACTGGGAAAGAGACGAGTGCAAAAAAACAAAGAATATTCATCAACTGCGCCTTTTGAGCTCACTTTAAACAAACAAGAGAAAGTAAACATGCCTTTTATACCCTTTGCATAATTTAAGTTTTCTGAACACCCTCCTTAATGACCTCAGGGGTTTCATTTTGTTTAGTTCCACTATAAGTCTCAGCAAAAATGAACATCCGTAGAGGCTTACTCAAACATTACAATTGATAAATATCCTAAAAAAAAACATTTAATGATCATGTCTATTTACCAAGGATACTATATTTAAAGTGCTTTTATAGTTGATAGTCTTGTCTCCACGTGGTGCACTCTGGACAACGTATATTCATACGGCAAAAAGGTCTATTAATCGGCAGTTGACTTCTGACTTCAAACTACCATCACCCCATTATATGCCATCTTTGACTACTTCCACAGCACTCACCTTCCCTTTTTTCTACCTTCATCTTTGAAACACTCTTCTGTTCCCCCCCCCCCCCGTGAAGCCTGAAGTCAACTAAAGGGCTAGTGATAACCATCAAAACGCCTGCAATTTGTATAAATAAATAATCGAATCATCGATATGAATTGGTCTACAGGATGCATAGCTTTCAAGTTCCACAACATCGGAGATAGAGATATGTGAAGTTTCACATTCTATCTAACGTAACATCTCCTTACCTCTATAGGCTGAATGTTTGATTTTGATGGTGGCACTCAACGACATGCCCTCTCTCTCTTCGTTTTTTTAAACAACCTTGCCACCGGCGGCACAAAAACCAAGGCCCGTGAATGTACTTTCTATTCGCAGGTATCGTCGACATCAATCTTTGAACTATATTAACAATGAAGAGGTAGAATGAGTAAAATCCCAATAGAAAGTTAGAGGTGGCTCGAGGGCAGCCTTGACAAAATCCGTGTCTACTTACCGCTGTACCGTATTAGATGAAAGAGTACTAAGGAATAACAGAAACTCAAAAGAGATTCGTCTTCAAAAGCTCATTCTCATAGAGCAAAGAAAATTTTTCTCCAAATGAGAAAGATTTCGAAACAGGTGGCAATAAGAAGTAGGTGAAAAAGACGTTAGATTATGTACAAAATCTATATACGATGAAATAGGTACAAAAATATCGTCCTTTATTGCTCCATTTCTAAAATCAAATCGCCTTCAGAGACTGTTTGGCCCTCCTTCATTCGCACGGATTTAACCTTAAATTGAAGTTAAAATATTGATATTTTTCAAAGGGGAGCATAATGCTGTTAACAAATAAGTATTTGATCATCAGCTCACCGTTCCAGATTGTGGTGCACGAAGACAGTTGCGCATTTTCATGGCTTCAAGGACGCACACCTCGTCTCCTTCAACAACTGCTTGCCCAGTGGAAACGAGAATCGATGTGACTAGACCAGGAAGTGGGGCTCGAATAGTTATAAGGCAGCTACCACCAGTAGAACTATCGCCGAAACACTTCTTATCAGCAGCCCTCAGACTCTTGATTCCAATAGAGTTTAGAGCTTGGAAGGCTTTTTCTGAACGTACACGTAACCAATAAACCTCGCCACGATATTGCAGACATACATCACCTAAAATATTGCGTTCACAAAGTTGGAAAATTGGACCATTTGTTTCAAATTGGATAAGATTATCAGCAAGGCAAAAGTTATCCGGAATGCGAAGTATTGAAGATGACGAAGGTAATTTGACTTCAAAATAACCGTTTCGAGGAGTTACGTTAATTTTTGTAACTTCATCTGGCATTGAAGAAAATTTTGACTCTACTGTAATGTTCAATTTGACGGTTTCATTTTTAGGTTGCCTGGAATCTGAGAAGTTCCGAAGAAAGGCTTTAAGGTAAACAACGGCTCCAGTAGAAATCAATAAATTAAATTCCTGTTGAGACAGCTTTATCCCTTGGAATCCATTTGGATAGATGAGATCCAAGTGTCGAATAGTGTAATTACCAGAAACGAAACCGGAGTCTAATATAACATCTCTCAGAAGGGGTATATTGGTTCTAACTCCTCCAATGACAAAACTATCAAGAGCTCGAGCCATTGATTTCAAAACCTCATCACGATCACAGCCATAGGCAATTAGTTTTGAGACAAGAGGATCATAGAAAACCGAGATGTGTGAGCCTTCTGAAACACTAGAATCGCAACGAATCCCAGGCAGATTACTCGGTTCCTTATAAGTGGTCAATTGTCCAAGAGTGGGAGTACCCAGTGCCCGGTAGGGGTCTTCAGCACAAACCCGACACTCCATGGCCCATCCATGACAAGGAACATCGTTTTCCGTTTGTTTATAGAGAAGACGGTGGCCCTTGGCAATTCGGAGCATCTGATGTACGATGTCGATTCCGGTAATGCACTCTGAAACTGTATGTTCAACTTGAAGTCGAGTATTCATTTCCAGAAAGTAGAAATTTCGTGGATTCTCTGCATCAAGAAGAAACTCTACGGTTCCCGCAGAGTCGTATCCAGCAGATTTTGCAATGAGCAACGCGGCTTCACAAAGTTTGATGCAGAGGGAAGGAAAGAAGCTAAAAAGAGAACCTGGAGCCTCTTCAATTAGCTTTTGATTTCGACGTTGAATTGAACATTCACGAAGGTGCAAGTGAAGCGCATTTCCATGACGATCACATAGAACCTAAAATGAAAACAAAAGTTGTTATTTCACATATTAACGAAAGTAAGCGAACTTTACCTGAACTTCAATATGTCTGGAAAATTGAAGAGCTCGCTCAAAAAGAACTCGATCATCGCCGAAACAAGAGTTAGCTTCGAGTTTTGACAAATTCAGAGCCTCTAGAAGCTCAGATGAGTTACGAACAATTCTCATTCCCTTCCCTCCTCCACCTGCTGAAGCCTTGATCATAATAGGATAGCCTTTGAGAATTAATAGAGTGGATTAATTGATCAAATACCGATATCATCAGCAATTTTGAAGGCTTCTGAATTGTCACTGACTTCCCCATCATATCCAGGGACGCAGTTTATTCCAGCTGAACTGGCGATTCGTTTACTCTCAATTTTGTCCCCCAATAAGCGCATTGATCTTGCATTTGGACCAATGTATGCGACACCCATGGAAGAAAGACTATCAGCAAATTTGAAGTTCTCTGAGAGAAATCCGTAACCTGGGTGAACAGCATCAGCCCCACTTTGAGCGACGGCAGACAAGATTGCCTCCAAATTAAGATAGGATTGCGCGGCAGGAGCAGGTCCAATACAGATGGACTCATCTGCCAACTGAACGAAGTGAGCTGAAGAATCTACTTCGCTAAAAACGGCCACGGTTTTGATGCCCAAACGCTGACAAGTGCGGATAATTCGACAGGCGATTTCACCACGATTAGCAATGAGCACTTTTTGAAATCGCTAAATTTAAGGCCATGAAAAGGAACAGTGGCTTACTGATTCATTGGGATCATAGCGATCATTCCAGTAAAAATTTTTGTGATTTTCATTTGATAAACTCCGACTTAATATGTGGAAGCGTCGAGGAAGAATCTGAACAACTAAATTCAACTAGTCCTAATTATCTCACATTTTGTGGACACGACAGGGACCTAAACAACCGGAGCATTGAAGAGACTTAAGCTAGCCAAGAGGCAAGACGCACCACCAAAACAAGCGCACCAATCATTGCCTGAGTTAAGGCCACTAACGCCAAAGAACAAATGTTCATTCAATAATTAAAAATGGGAGTCGAAAATAGATCGTAAGGTGGTAAAACATAAATTATCTGTTAATTTTTCCTAAAGTGCTATAAGCGTTGATTTATTCTTCCAAACGTATGATTTACAAAATTACTGAAATAGAGTGTTGTTAAATTATTGAATTAAGATATGAACTTAGTTATATGGATAAGGAAAGAGCCATCGAATTAGCCACATTTAAGTACTACGGAAAATATCGCGTTATAATCATTGGGTTTTGGTATACTTTTTAGGACACGAAGAGTTGACCAATTAAAAATTAACTTGTTGGTGTTTGTCAGTTTTAAAACTGTGCCTTTCTATTTTCCATTTTGATAGAAGATTTTAGTCATCTTTCCTTATTCTTTATTGGCATAACCAAGTAATTAAATTTTTCATCTCAATTTTAGTTCAGACATTTAGATGCCTCTCCTGGACGATGATAGAGTGCATATCTTTATTATTCTCCTTTTAATATCTCTTCAATTTTTCGTATGGAATTATATTCATTTTACCCAGACCGATGCTGAATCCCTTCTTAAATCAGATATTTACCTCAAGACAAGCCCATTTCATATTTTGGGTTATGCAAAGCAACTTATTGTGAAGCTCTATCACGAAACCATCAGATATTTGGACTCCATTAATGCAAGCTTTGCTTTATATGCTTTTATTTAGATATTTAGATTGAGAATATATTGTCTGCTGCGTTGTCAATGCGATCTAAACCGAAGCCTGCGTCAATTCCCCAACCCCCTAAGATTATTGAACTTCATGAACGCAAACATGTCTTTCTTGGTGCAAGTCAGAAAGTCAGGGAAAAACGTCCCTACAATCTAAAATTTTCCATCGGTCAAGTTGTTCGACATCGGCATGGATTCAAGGCTGTGGTAATTGGTTGGGATGAATTCGCTGCTGCTCCTCCTTCATGGATGGTTCTACATTATCCAAGATTCGAAAGAGAGATGGTGAGTGTTGTGTTTTATTTGTTAATGTCATGATTATTAAATCTGCTTGATTATAATCGATTATCTAGAATATGTCATGAAAATGAATTTAGCAGAGCGACTTATAGCTCTTATTTTTCACGGCAGGTCAAAAGCATTTTGAAATTTTTAACCAAAGAGAAGCACCTAAGCACATTTTTCTGCATAATTAAGGGCAGTGCCATTAATTTCTTAGAAACAAAGTGTTCTCACATTATTTGACCTCCAGACTCATAAGGGCGTTTGCTTTCTCAATTTGATATTTTAGTTGCTTATCTTTCATGTTAAGTTAAATACTTAGGCGGACCAGGCTCTTTTTATTTCTTAACCATCCTTCTTTGTTTACTTATCAGGAAGTGAGGCAACAGCCCAACTATCGTTTATTGGCTGATTTCAAGGACACACTCTACCAAATTGGACCAATTTACGCTCCAGAGGACGAATTAACATCTTTGACCCCCGATGAATTGAAATCTGCCGGCAGCAAACTCTATCCCCATGAGCCCATTATTCATCACTCCACTATCTCTGAATACTTCGATTACTTTGATGGGACAAAGTTTTCTCCTCGGCCTTGGCTACGCCGGATCTACCCCCAGGGATGATGATGATGCTGATATTTTACTGGCCAGTTGACTTTTTAATATTCTTTCCTTCTCTTCTCCTCGTTTTAAGTGCCTTCAAGACCCGAGTTGTTGATGTTTCCATTTTGTGAATGTGACAGTGTATTTGACATGTTTCGATTTTTGCGAACTCTATGAATATTATCTTGAATTGTGGGACTTTTTCCTTAGGTTAATTAGGATTTTCTAAATTGAAAATTCTCTATTCTTTGTTGTAAGGTTTCGGGATTTTACTAATTTATTTCCAATTGATTGTTAGAGAAACCAGTGAAAAGTCGTTTATTACCGCTCTCTAGACTTAAGAGTGATATTTTGTCTTGTTAGAAATTAAGAGCTTTGTTTTCTTCCATTTCTGTTGGCTAGGTGTGAATTATGAGATTCGGGTGATCTATAGAAGGGCATAAATCGGTATACTACCGAAAAATTGAAATCTAAATGCTTTTTATAACTTATCATTATATGAACACGATCTCCGCAGTGTTTTGGGGTACAAAGATTCAAAACATGTATCCGTATCAAGCAAGTGTACTTTACTTAGTATAATTTATTAGGCATCTTTATCATATAACTTTTATCCTTTGCAAGGCCAATATTACAGTTTAGCAAGATGAAACAGGTTCTGTAGTCTGAGTCATATTGAGCGTTTGCGTGGAGCCCGGTGGGGTCTAGCAACTATTTTATCTTAACTGTATAGTACTCCATGTTGCATTGCCCCCATTAATGCAATATAAGTTTATGGGATATATGCCAGTATGAGTTTATATTGAGCATTTTCGATAGTCTCGAATAGTGTTGTACTTAAGATAGACGTTTTTATGTGGGAAATTATAACAGCCTGAACCACATCGAGTATTACACGAATGGTCCGAAAACTGGTGTGTTTTGCCTAGTGCTAATTATGAGTAAAACTGCTAGTTGCGTGTCAGTGAACAAGCTAGATCGAGGGAGAAACAATTGAATAGTTCAGCAAAATAATATCTTTCAGGAGTTTGGAGTTAACAAATTAATGGCCCCAATTTTCTTATCTGCAATGGTACATGACCCAAATTCTCCCCACTCCACTAAATAGTATGCTCCACAGATCATTTTCCTCGAGGCACGGTCTTGTGGTTATCAAATAGTCCACGAGTGAATATGATTTGCCTGCCTTCTCAATGGTCTAACACCAGAAGTCACTGGGGAAACGTCCACGGCTACTTAGGACGGCTTCAATTTTGCCATTTTGGAGCATATCGAGGAATAAGGCATTTCACGTACCAAAAGGCCTTTTGGTTCAACTACAATATGAGCTACTGAAGTACCGCAGCCATTGGAGAGATAATACAGAACAAGGATTACTCGTTTTTTGGTGATTCCACCACTTAATGAGGAGAGCAACCTCCTGCCAATTACAAGAGACTATCGAGGCGAAAGAGGAACACACAGAAACCTGAAGTGGTAAGTCCTCCTAAACTGTTTCAACCAGAAACAGTGTCAACATCTTCGATAAATAAATCTACCGATAAACCAATTCAGGTCTCAAATTAGTCCAGCACAAAGAGTAGGCATCACTGCCCTCTAAAACGAACCAACACAAGTTCCCAATATCTAATAGAATTGTGTTGACAACTGCTGCTCTCAAAACCTCTGGATTGTTTCGCATTTGTACATTGGCAATATGCGGCAAGAAGAAGACCCAAGAAATGCAATAAGACAAGTGCAACAACCAACTGAGATTAAAAGCAGCCCTGCCTCACGTTAAAGCTTTGCCTTCTCTATTCTTCGTTGATTCCATGGCTTTAAAACCACGCCTTTAAACTTTCAGCATTTCTCTAATAATATGTAGAGGACTTTTCTTTCATTTACTCCTGCGCTCTTCTTGAGAGTGGCGCATTCGAACTTAACATTTGAACCAATTCCACACTAAAAGGATTACTCAAGATCACCCTATGACTTTTGAGTAGCATTAACTTATTCAATTGGTGTAGGCCAGTAGATGGACCGCATAATCACCTGAGAGTAACGATATTTTGAGATTGTCAGGTGCCCTGTGTTTAGCCTCGTCGATTACAAAGTCTAACACAAGACTAGTAACACGCACCGCTGATGCGATTTTAAGATGAAATCTCTGTTACCAAGCAGATCGACAGAAAACATAAATTCAAAGACAATTGACAGTTTTTATTGAAAAATATAAACTCGATAGTCACATTAGTAAACACAAATGTGAAATAAAAAGAAAGCATTTAGATACAGGTAATATTTGTACAACGGTTATTTCAGCATTTAACGTCTGTAATCTCTAGAATGACGGGAATGACTGTTAGAGCGACCACCTCTTGAATACCTTGAATGAGAACTGAATCGTGAAGGGGAAACAACATCTCGATAGGCTCTTCGACGTCGTGGAGGAGAAATATCCCGTTGACGTCTGGAATTTCTTGGAGGAGAACGACATGGTGCGTGACGTGGAGGTGAAACAGATGGAGATCTACTGCAGTCTACTGGTTGGCAGCTTTTTGAAATGGAAGGCATCACGGGGGACCGTCTAAGCTCAGGGCTCCTTGAACGAACAGGCGGTGACCTGGCACGTGATCTTAAAGAGTCCATTGGGGATCTTTTTATTCTTATGGGAGACCTCGAGTGTCCAGAAGACGATTGAAGTTCCGAAGACTTTGAGGACTTCTGGAGAGCCATGAGCTTTTTCATTGCCTCAGGACCGCAACCATTTTCGCGAACGTAATCGCGCACGGAAGTAAATTCTCCATTCCCAATACGCTTTGGCATTTGACTATCATCCTGCCGACCAACACGAGTTAAACCAACCGTAGGCACTTTGTACTTCTCAACATGGTCAACCCGAATAATGCGACCGGCAATTTTAATCCCATTTAGGTTGTCTGTAGCTAAAATTGTGCTTTTCTGATTTTCATAACAGACAAAAGCAAAACCCTTAGATCGTCCAGTGTCCTTATCTCTAACGAGATTAATATTGGCGACTTCACCATACTGGGAGAATACACAAATAATATCACCTTCCGTTAGATCATAGTCCAGACCACCGATAAAAATCCAGGCAGAATCCTTGTATTGCCTGTGCCAACTGCTTTCTGTTCCCGTATAGCCGAGCCGGAGCTCACGTTCATTCATAGCATTTTGGTTTTTGGTCTGTGTAATTGGATTCATAATAGCCTATAACTACAATTATTAGTTTAATAAATACGATGAAACAAAGTAAAATAGTTGTTCATATAAACAACGACCTACGATGGGCAAAGCGCTAGTCCCAGCCTGTGTAAATATGAACAAGACGCCTTTTTGTTGATGCTTATGGAGCTATTTAGAACAACAGATCTCATTTATTAAATAAAGTTACATAAAATCAAAACCACAATATATATTTTTTTGCTTTATACCCTATTGATAAAATAAGTTACTTAAAAATAGTTTAATAATTAAATTGCTGATTATTTTCAAACTGTTAAACAATAGATAACGAAATTGACGAGCAGATAATATTAAACTAACGGAATATTGCTATAGGAATAAAAGGAAATTTTATATGATTGAAAATATAGAAAGAATATTCGCACTCCTAATTTTAGCATTACTAAAATGTGCTTTGTTTGACGACCTCGTTTACCTCTCATTATCATAGTTGCATTCTTGATTGTATGATAAGCATAGATGTGCAATTTCCGCTTCATTTGTTAATCTCAAACATAGAAATACTAATATGGCATCATCCTAAAATTCATTTAGAGTGATATTTGCACTAACAGTTGCTATTTAATTAGACATAATCAGTAGAATCTGGAGTAATTTACCAACTCTTTCACTAAATGACTTTCAAAGTGACCCAATTAGGAGCCTTTAATTGTTTTTATTATCTCCTTTCAGTTTCAGTTATTTACATATGACCTCGAAAGTCATATAAATTAACACCAACCAAATTGAACTAAAATTTATCTTGAAAGAACTTGAAACGTAGAACCTGTTGTGTGAGGTTCCTGATGAATGTAATCAAAAAATCTTATTCAAGTACTCAAAATTTGGCTATCTTTAAAAACGGGCTAAAAGTTTGTAATAATTCAATAGTCTATATAAACTACTTTTAAATTACATGATGATGCGACAATTAGAAAGTTTACTTTAAAATATTTATTTATTTATTTATCAAATGGCAGGCGTCTTGATGGTTATCATTAGCCCTTTAGTTGACTTCAGGCTTCACAGAGTGGAAGGAACATCAAATTGAAAACAGTCGAGAGGAGGGGAGGGGGACAGAAGAGTGTTTCAAAGACGAAGGTAGAAAAGGTAGAAAAAAGGTGGAATGAGTAATGTGGAAATAGTCGAATATGGCATAGATTGAGGTGATGGTAGTTTGAAGTGAGAAGTCAACTGCCAGTAAATAGACTTTTTTGCCGTATGAGCATGCGTTGCCGAGGGTGCATCACGTGGAGGTAAGTCTATCACACACCCCTTACTTTGAAATATAAATCTTGACAAATTTCTCGGATAAGTGAAGTGGAAGTACAGATTTAAGATACTGGGTTAAGTTTATAACATTTAATAATGCCTTATGTGTAAAAATAATTATGAGATGTTGAGGATAAATCTAACAGTTTCATCTTAAATAGAAGCTGGAGTTGGGAACTAAAGTGGTATTGGGTTTAAACGAAATTCGAAAGACAGGAAAACAGGATAGTTTTCAGATATTTTATACCTTAAATGATGAGACTGATATAGTAGTGTTATCATTATTATTATTATTTCAAATGGCAGGCTTTAGATATTTATCATTACCCCTTTAGTTGATTTCACATTCTAAAGGGGGGGGGTGGTAAGGAACATATAGGTAGGCTTCAGGACAGTTAACAGTAGTTCATTAGTTGGCTTCTGGGTTCCAAGTATCTCTGGGTTTTGTCGTTGACTTTAGGGCTGAACACCGAATCAAGTGGGTCTTCTTCACTTCCTCCTGTAGGTTACAAAGGGGGCATGCTAATTGAGTGTATGATCCTAATCTGTGAAGGTGCTCTGCCGAGCAATCATGTCCGGTACGTAGTCTAAACTCAGCAACAGCTCCAATTCTTAGCCAGTCGGTTATGTCAGAGAGTGCCACTCTCCACTGTTTCCCTTTGTTCGAGCTATAAATTCGTTGCACCTTGAGGTCTTGAATTCTCTCCTGATTAGGGTCTTCATTGTGTGGAAAGGCAACGGCCGGTCTCTGCCCCCCAAAATTGTTGTTCCCTTTTTATAACTAGTGGGTCGGCATGCTCATCGCCTATAATGCCACATTGTCTAGGGATCCGTTGAAGAACTACGGTTTTGTTTTTTTCTCTCGGTAACTGATATAGTTTTTTATAAAACAACGCATACTCATTCGGCGTAAAAGTCTATAACTCAGCAGTTGATTTCAAACTATTATGATCAGACTGATATAGTAGTAATAATTAATTTTAGCTTACCTGGCATGTATAAAATGACCGAATCCTGCTGGCGTCATACAAATAGCCTATTTGGGTTGTCGCCAGTGCTTAATTACTGCAGAAGTCAACAATTCTGCATTGTTGTCTGGTTTCAACTTAAACCCCTCTTTCATCACTTGAAAGAGTGCCTACATTTGAGATGTGTGAGATTTTGTGTAAATTTAGTTTGCATACCACTCTGTTCAATCGACTCCACCCCTTATTCTGCGGTTTACCTAATTTCGTCTAGGCAGAATTCGATCCTTCCTAAAAGATCCATATTATTTGTACCTCAGCAGCTTGCTTCGCTTTGCTCAGAATTATCTATGCTTTTGTCAGATCATTGGTCTTTTCTCTGAGCAGTTGACCTTTGTCACTCTGGTAAGAGTTTATGTTAGTAGAGAAGGTCTTTGTTGGGTTCTAACTCCATTAACTGTGATGACAACGTCATACGAAATCTAATTTCAGGTTGCCCTAAAATACACAAAGCCGCACACACATACAGCAGATTTGTGAGGAAATCTCCACTGTGTGAAGTCAATCAGATCAGATAATCTGTTGTGTTGCTTTCTACTGGCCACAGTAGTCTAGTAGTCTGCATTGCTGTTTGTTATTCATAATGTTGAGGGAACATTGGGTAGTAAGCATAGTCTCTTTACTTTGATGACGGAGTGAGTCGTTGTGGTGCAAGTTAGTTTCCACCATGATGTAGGTCGGTTTCAGTGAAACATTCCTGTTGCCCTCTTGTCAGTGGGGGTAGAATGGTTTCAACTGCTGTGGGCAGTGTAACTTGCGTGGACACTTTTAACACATCTAGAAAGGCAGTCAACTTTTGTTCAACGACGAATGATTTGGAAGTAACCCTAGGATTATAGTTGGGGATAAGATATTCAGAGTACTTCTTGATGACATAGAATAGATAAGCAGTCACAACAGTTAGATAACAATTTCTAGTAGGTATAACCAAAGCGTTTATCTGTAGTTATATTTCTACCACTATACCAATAACGTTTAGATGCCTTAAATTTGCTAACTGTGTTAATCAATAATATCGAAAATAATGAAGCTTCAAATATGTACTAATGCAAATTGAAATTTTGTAAAGTATCCATCAAAATGTATTGTAATTATCTTTCCTCAAACCCTCTTTGAAATTTGAAATAGCTCCTGGTTATTTCAGTAGCCGCGTGATTTTATTCAATGTCAATCATCGATGTGGAAGGTTAGTAAACTCAGTGAACCTCGCTTGGGTCTTTGAACAGCCTTCCAACAAGATGCCTTCACCGTTTCCAACTCCAGATCTTCCCTTTATTATCTAATCAGAAAGTAATGGGGTGAGAATCTACTTTGCCTCTATCGTGATCAGACATGCGAAAGTCTCACAAAGCTACACCAAGCTAAGGTTTCTCCCAGAATATTTTCTGGGAGTCAATTAACCACCAAGATGGGTGAGATGGAGAGAAACTACGATATACGATGATTCATCAGAGGATTTTGCAATCATCAGTTACCGACGTGTGCGCAAGCAAACGTAGAAATTCCAAACATTTCTACAAAATGAGGCTGAAGATTTTTTGTCAGCTTGACCAAATAGGAGCGAAAGAGTTATTTGTGTCTAGGCTAAACTGGAGATAAAGAGTTCTCCAAGAATAATCGGCATTCGTGTAAACAAAGTAATCAGGCTATATGTAATCAATATGCCGGATAGTACCATTAGAATATGGAACAGCAGGTAGGAGAAGATAAAGAAATATCTATGAACACTGACTTTATTTATATCTAATGACCGGCTTGATGATAGTTTTCATCAACCCTTTAGTTGACTTCGGGCTTCACAGAGGGGAGGAACATCAACGTGAGAAAAAATAGAGAGGGTGAAACGAAGATTGATTCAAAGATGTCAAAGACAGATACCCACAAAGGCGGAGAAAAGGTAAGATGAGTACGGTGAAAGTGATCGAATGTGGCATACAGTGGGTAATTTGAATTCAGAACCCAACTGCCGGTTTATTGACCTTTTTTGCGAATGAGTATACAATGCCCAGGGTGCTCTACGTGGAGGTAAGTCTATCGCACGCCCCCATGAACACTACATAATGTTTAAAAATTATAATAATAAGGCAGATTTTCTGGCTTCTGGCATATTATAAGCAGTCCCTTGGAAAACTCAATTCACTTCCACAGCGGGGATAAACTGCACATAACATTTTATGTCTCTTTTTGTTTCCTTATTTACATTAATTTTTCCACAAAAATTCTGCCTTATTTCGTGCTGAATGCAATCGGTCCATCATTATTAGTCTTATGGTTTTAAGAGGGTCTATGGTGCCCCAGATATCTGCAATAGAATCTCTAGTACTGCATTCCGATAATTTTTTCACAATTCTTTCGATGTTCTTTGCTGATTCCTTGCATAAAAGCCGACTCTAAAAGCAAATAAATGCGATAATTCAGACTGATAAGTGCTGGGAATAAGCGTTTAAAATGTAGTCGGATGATTAACATGAAAGAACCTCCTTCTAAAACACCATGATAAACAATCAAAATTCAGACAGGGTAAGTTGATACGGTCGACTCTCGAGAGAACTAATGCAGAAAGTGAGGATAAGAAGGGAGGGGGAAGACTTATTGCGTTCTACCGGAAAATTTTATGTTTAATCGTCAAGGCTAGAACGTTCTCGCATCTAGCAGACATGGATCATTGGAACTGTTAGTTAT